CCACCACGGAGTGTAAAATGTTACATACATAAGTACTCATTAATTCTTGATCTACGAAATCAAATCCCCAAGAACTAAGAGATTTTACTCAAACTACGAAAATTTGAACCCACGAAAATATGAGATTTTACAGTATCTGCAGAGTTTTAAGAAATTCTGTGAAGTTGTGAAAGAGGAGTTGCGCTGACAAAAAAAAAAAAAAAAAACAGGACTGACTGACGAAAGCACGGGTTAAAACATTTTACCTCACGCAACTTGTTACGAGGGGTATAAAAAATATAAGCTGGACTTTGATTAATACGCACTTCTCTGATATGCATCAATAGGATATTTTTCCAATCGACACTTTTTTTAACTTGCTTTACCGTAATCTTAATGTTAACTTTTACATGCACTTATTAAACCTGATAATATCTGTAATGGAAAACAAGATGTGTTTGTGAAACACTATGCGCCCGGCGGCAACAAAGTTCAAAAAATGTAATTTTAGCATATTGGTCACAGTCAAGGTCACAAGGTCATTGACCTTGGTGTCATTTGAAGGAACTTAATCGGTGGAGTATGCATACCAAATATGAAGTCTATATCTCCTATGGTTCAAAAGTTATGGCAAAAAGTGTAAAAAGCTATTTTTAGCATACAGGTCACAATCAAGGTCACAAGATCATTGACCTTGTCGACGTTTGAAAGGACTTTATTAGTGGAGTAAGTATACCAAATATGAAGTCCCTATCTCCTATGGTTCAAAAGTTATGACAAACTGGAAAAAAACTATTTTTAGCATATAGGTCAAAGTCAAGGTCACAAGGTCACTGACCTTGCTGTCATATGAAAGGACTTTAGTAGTGAAGTAAGCATACCAAATATGAAGTCTCTATCTCTTATGGTTCAAAAGTTATGGCGAAGGTTAAAGTTGACAACAGACAGAAAGACAAACAGATAAACAGACAGGACAAAAACAATATACACCCGGGATCTATCGATCCGGGCACATAAAAACAAGCTTCTGCAATGAGTGGTTGCTGAGAAAACTGCGACGAAAATTTATTACGGACAGACAGACGGACACACAAGGGTAAAACACCCCCCTCTCCTTCGGAGCGGGGGTATAATAAACTGGTTAGTACTCAGTCAAAAACATATCCATGTATGCCATTGATATTTTTTCAGCAAAATACAAAATTTCAAAGAAACATCAATATCAGTAAAATTGCCCCGACTTCAATATTTTGATAATTGACGTATTTCACAAACAATAAGTGACTTTTTGTAGATCAACAAGTCAATTACAAAATAATAATGTTTGTCAGTCAAAATCCTACGAAACGGAAGAAGAGGAAATTAAAGCAGTGATCTCAAATGAACGGCGAATAAAATCAACTGCCATCAAGCAGATATTCAAACAAATAAAGAGACTGACTTCCCTGCCAAAACTTCAGATGTCAATTCATTTTGTTTGTATGAATGAAGGCCAGCAGAGACAGCTAATGAAATTAGCAGGATCTGGGGATTTTTTAGCCGGGCTTATTGCTCAAAGAGCAATTGCCGGCTTATGTGATCCTGTTCAAGGCAGGATGTTGACCCCATAGTCGCCATTTTAAAGTTACGTGCAAAAATAAAGTTCTTACTCTCAACCGCATTTGAGATAATACAAACGCTAAATAAAGCAACAAAAATAAAACGAAGTTTTATCTATATAAAATAAACATTAGTAGTAATGACTTTGAAAACTTCATAAGTCAAAGAACATAGTTCATTAGCGTAAGGATGTTTGATAATCAGTGTTACCGTAGTTCTCTACACATACGAGCTAGGTAAAGCAGGAGAGGGAAACAGACTGACCTGTTTGTTTATATTCTGCTGCGGTACCAGATTAATTCTGATTCTGACAAAATCGGACCGTGGTATTAGGATTGAAAAACTCACTGTCAGTGTCTTATCATTTATATTGATAGTTTTAAAATAATTTTTTCATCACAATATAAGCGTGATTTATGTATGAAATCCATTCTACTATGTAAATGAGCCCGGCTCTCTGTACTTTGATTTTAATTTGAAAGGGGAGAACCTCTCCTGTCAGGAAAAGAACTAAAGAGTTCGAAGAACGAGGATTAAAAATATCTCTCAAACGCAACGAGACCAAAAGAAGTGCACATGGCCACGACATCTAAAATTCCATGTGGGTCCGGCGTGTCTAAAACAATTGCGGAGGAACCTAGGGAAATACTGTCTACCCCGTCAATTCAAACATTGTCAACTGACGATTCCATGGTTATTGTTAGGTAGAACTTCGTACGTAAACAACAATAGATATATTCTGTAGTAAATGTCATACCCTTTCATTAGTTGCATATATATTTTTATCTAACTCCCAAAGGCCATAGACCTCAGGGTCATGCGATGATTGTTTAAGTTTGCTCCTGACGAACTTCAGTTCCTGTTATCAAAACGTACCTCTAATGTCGTTACTGAGCAAACGTATGGAAACGTTAAATGGCATGGTATTGAATTAAGGAATAATAATACAAAAATTATTATTATTATTCATTCTAGTGATCTTTAAAAGAAATGCTTTAAAGTAAAAATAACAAACTATCGATTTTCTTCCTTACTGTAGATGTCTCAACCCCTAAACGAAGACGAAGCGGGAGCGTAAAGAAGGCAGTCGAAGTAGGATGTAAATATGGTAAAGGCTAACTTAAAGATAAATACACACCCTTAATATATGATAATATATAAAAAAAAACACTTAAGGGCTTTTAGGTAAGACTTTTTTTTTTTTCTTAGACAAGGGAAAACGACGAAAAAGACGGAGGAAGGTCAGTTGCAGTGGAACATCAACCGACGGAGCTGCGAGTGATGAATCGGTTTTTTGCGAGTTTCATTTATCATACATATCTATAAAGTTGATATCAAGTTGTACTCATATGAATGACGATGACAAGCAATTGATTTCAACATACCATACTGAATCCTGAATTTAGAGTTTAATAGCAAAATATTTCTTTTTATATTAATCCTGGTAGACACATGTATCGTGCAACAGGTTATTAAATTACCTAATAATTTGATTAGGTCTTCCTTTTTAAAGAAAAGTTGCGTGAAGGTGAAGACAATGATGAAATTAAAGATCCTGAATTAGCCGCTACAAAGGTGAATACTAATAAATTTTATCTTGTAAATGAAAAGACCCTCCCCCCCAAAAAAAATATCCCTGTATAATTCATAATGGTATTATTCAGTATAATTCATGCATGCTCTCAGAGCAAAAATAATAGGAATAGTATAGTTATATGATTAGGAGAATATGTTAAGCGTTTCTAAAAGGTATGTATTGGTTCATAAAACTGGCGCACCATTTTTGCAGGGAATCAGTGTTAAACTGTGATTTTCAGGGAATCTGCAAAATTAATTTAAGTATATCGATGTACTCTAGTACTATGAAAAAAAAACAGTTGTTATATAACAATTTATTTTAAATACTATGAATAATTTAAATTACTGTGAAATCATCATTGTTCGTGGGGGACCAATGTTCGTGGGTAACCCTGACCCACAAATTTACATCCCAACGAACGTATATACAAACATATGTTTTTATTATTTGTTAAAACTAATATCGTAAAATAACCGTTACCCTTGTGTTCGTGTGATAGCGCACAAAGAAGACAATCTGTATATGGTTATTGAAACAAAACCAAAATGAAAAAAAAACAAACAAATAAAAAGTATTTATTATCAAAGATATCGTTAACTATATACAATAAGTAATAAAATGATAAATACAAATGTTAAATTTAAGTAGTGTTTACATTATAGTCCAACACGCTCAAATCCCCTTTGATGAGGTCATTTTTCAGTGGGATTTTAGAGTGGGTGTTAATTAGCCAATTAGCATGAATTGGTTTAGAGATTTGAAAACGTGTCCCGTGTACCACTGGTGTTCTTAAGGTAAGGTTTGCGTCTCCCTCCAACTGTTATTTTTTTTAATATGCACACATGCCATATATCAATTTATTCAGGGAGATTAGCTTCATCATTTAATATGATTTTCAAAGATATTGCCCGTCCCATTTTTTTAGTAAAAGACGCCAAATTTAACGTATTTCATATTTCACCTCGAATATTATTTTCATTGAAAAAATTGATTTATTTTATCAATTATCAAACTTTTATAATTAAAATGACCTGAATTAGTATAATTCATGCTTCTATTATTCAAACTATTAATTTTCCGTTATCAAAAATGTGAAAAATTGGGTAAAAAAGAAGATTTTTCAATTTTCCTTGATAAAGTGAAACCGTTGCCATGGCAACAAAAATATAAAAATCAACGTTTTACATATCTTACGATTCCATCAAATTCCATGAAGTTATTAATTAGATCATTTTAAATAATTTGAACCAAAAAAATATGTATGTCCCCAATATTATTTCCATGGAAACAGGGGCTATATTATGGGTTCGGAACACAAAAATCAGGCTTTTTCTACTTTTATAAAGACAACATTGATATCACCTTGTCATGGTGAATGTTAAAGACTAAATGTATTTTTGATATTGTTTTTAAGCAAAACTTGGCCAAAAATATTCAAAATAAAACTCCTCCTGTGCTACAAGATGGTCTAAAAATTTATTCCATGGAAGAAATCTAGTATTTATGGCAATCTTTACATCTGAATATTCTGATGAAATTGTCCATGAATTATACTGCAACACCTTTAGAAGTACATGTATATGTTTATAAACATAGTTCAGAACATGTTGCAACTAACCCAATTAAAAGCCTCTGAATTTGACCTCATGCTGATTTAGTTATTCCAACATGCAGTAATTTCTAGACATCTTCGTAGCAAAATATCTTTATTCAGTTATGTCTCGTGACTATCATTATATATGAATGCCATCTTTTGAGTGAAATGTTGTAAGCATTGCATCCACGAAGCTGCTGTTTTTATAATTAAATGATTTCTTTATTTCGAAGAGTAGAATTGCTATCTTGAAAGTAATGTTTGTTTGCCCTCTCTTGACTCTGGGTAAAATTATTGGGTCGGTAGGTGAGAAAATCTTCAACAACATTTCTTTACGGGGAATAAGAGGAATAAAAAGAAAAAATATGGCCCTGCGTTGAAAAAAAAATTTCAGTCTGGTCATTTTAGTCAGTCGGTCTGGAGAGGCAGACAACCAAACATATCTTAAAGACGGCCTATTTCTACACTTCATGGACATTAGCTCAATCATTGGATTAGGTAGTCTGAGAATCTAAATTGAAATATCAGACAGAACAAAATAAAGATGAATTCTAAGTGACTTCAATTCATACTTTAATGAGTTTACAGAGTACTTCTGATTTCAGAGAAAAGGCAAATTCTGCAAAATGACATAACACTGTCATAAATATTTGTCAAGAACAGGGAAAAAGAAACAATGTTACAGTGATAGATATATCTCCTTGATATCCATGAAATAATAATTTAAATATAAAATTTTTTTCTCCTTTTTAAAATCAAAATTCAGAAAAAAATTAAAAGATTATAAATGTAAACAATTTTAAAATAAACTACATGTATTTGTGAAAGATTTTAATTTTAGTTGATTACTAAACTGGTCTTATCATTCCTACTAAATTAACAACCTTTCAATTTCCAAGTGTCATATTTTAAACTGTTAAATGTTCACTGCAGCTTTATTTACAAAACTCTTCAGTTTTCAGAAATACTTATTTGAGCATATTAGGTCCTGGTAAGAACTGTACGCAGATGAGATTAAACTTATTCAAGAGAATCAAGCAGGTTTTAGAAAGGAATATTCTACTTTAGACCATATTCTGACTTTACATTTATTATCAAACACACTGATGAAGTGTAAGAAAAACTTTTTTGTGCGTTTATAGACTTTAAGCAAGCGTTTGATACTGTTTGGAGAAACGGTCTCTGGAGTAAACTTTTAAATTATGGAATTAAAGGCAAATGCTTCACGTATATTACAAATATGTATAAGGGAATTAAATCACTTATAAAGATGAACGGCACAACAACCGATTTTTTCTTTTGTAATGTCGGAGTCCGGCAGGGAGAAAACTTATCTCCTTTTTTATTCTCCTTGTACATTAATGATTTAGAGAATTATCTTGTTGATAGGAATATAATCGGTTTACAAAGCCTTACAACTTCAATAGAAAATGATTTATGTGTTTATTTGAAACTTCTTATACTCTTATATGCTGATGATACTGTAATTTTAGCAGAAACTCCTGAGGATCTACAAATGCTTTGAATGAATTTGAAAGTTACTGTTCAGAGTGGAAATTACAAGTAAATATTGAGAAGACCTAAATATTAATTTTTTCAAAAGGTCCTTTGTGCAAAAGGGTATTTTACTATAATAACAAGAGTCTAGAAACTGTAAAAGAATTTAAATATCTTGGAATCATTTTTTCAAGATCTGGCTCCTTTTTAAAAGCAAAGAAACATCTCTGTGACCAAGCCCAAAAAGCAATGTATGGTGTAATCAGGAAAATAAGACAATTTAACCTCCCTATAGAATGTCAATTCGATTTGTTTGATAAAATGGTTTTACCAGTGTTACTTTATGGTTGTGAAATCTGGGGTTTTGAAAATTTAGATATTATTGAACGTGTACACTTAAAATTTTTAAAACATATTCTGTATTTTGAAAAGTAGTACCCCGAATTATATGGTTTATGGTGAAACAGGACGTTTTCCACTATCTATCATTATATATCCAAGAATAGTATCATACTGGTGTAAACTATTGAATTGCACAGAGAAGAAAATTTCATGTATATTATATCAATATTTAATTGCTAATTCACAATCTGAAATTGGTAAAAATCCTTGGATTGACTGTGTTCATCATATTTTTGATTCATGTGGACTATCTCATATTTGGAATGAACAGTTTTATCATAATATTAGTCAAGATTGGGTTACTTCTGTTGTTAAACAAAGATTACAGGACCAATTTATACAAAAATGGCATTCTGATATTAATAGTTCCTCTAAAGGTATTTTGTATAAAGCTTTTAAAACAAAATTTGAGGGCGAAAATTATTTAAGTTTTTTGCCGTTAAAATTCAGAAAAATACTTGTCAAATTCCGTACTACTAATCACCGTCTACCAGTTGAGCTGGGAAGATGGGCATGCACACCATTAAACGAAAGATTATGTACATTTTGTAATGATAAACATGTTGCTGATGAATTCCATTTTATACTTGAATGTTCTGCACTGTCAAATATAAGAAAGAAATATATTAATGAATACTACTTTACAAGACCAAATATTCTTAAATTTTCCCAACTGATGACAAAACAAAAAATGTTTATATTAAAAATATATGACTTAGTCTGTCCTCCATGATTTGTTCCCCTCATTCATTTTATTATTATATGTATCACATGTGATTTTTCCATTTTTTTTTCTTCATTTTTTTCTTTCTTTTTTCCCTTTTCATTTCTTGATTTTGTATATCTTATACTTATATACCTCTGACCTGATTATATATATATGTTGTAAATATTTCTCTTTGTCCTCATGTACCATGTATTAAAATGGTGTTGAGTGAATAAATGAACTTGAACTTGTAAAAACAAAATTTAATGAATAAAAATATTAAATTTAATTGTTCATGTATTAATTTCCTTGCAATTTTACAAAATAACCCTTTTAAGAAACTTGTTACTTGTAAGTGTAGACAAAAGCAACCTTCAATTAATACCTTAATGTATACATTTATTTTACTGAAAACAAATTCAAAGATGGACAAATAGAGCATGCACTGCAATCATCACATACACATATTTTCTAAATATATTGAAAACAGCATGTATATACTACCAGGTAGATAGGATGCTGTTAAACATTAAATTTTTTTCTATAATCTATAGACATATTAAAAATATGCATTGGGTACAACAAAACATCATTTCTTTTCCAAATCTCCATTGACTTTGCCATGTCTGGTTCAACATCTTAGCTTGATCCATCCAACTTTCTTTAATATTCTTGAGCTGATATGGGATGACCTCTACTTTGATTGATGGCACAAATCTTTTAAGGAAACACTGAAGTACATGTACTTTTTTTGTTCTTATCTATTCCAATTAATGACCCAATTGATCTGAAATCATATGTGTTCATTTTAACAATAACATTTAAGGAATTGCATTTTTGGAATTGCATAAGGAATTGGACTGAATTTCATTCACTCAATGAAATGAAATTTCCAATATAATCAATGAAGAATCAATATGAAATTATTGTACAATTTATACATGTAGATTGAATTAGTGAAATGCAAATGCTTGATCAAGAAAATTAATGTTCTTGTCATGCACAATTTGTATTAATTAAAAAATGAGATATTAATTAAAATCAAACCTCATTTAAAAGGTAACTTGAACAATTGAATACCTGTTCCAATAATGTTACAAATATTAGGCCTAAAAAGCAAGGATTTTTTTCATAATTTCTTGAATGAATGCATTTTTATTTTTTGGCAATTTTGATGCCACATCCTGACATCCTTGTACCGTTTATTCATCGTTTTTAAATCTGTAGTCAGAAGATCATTCATAACTTTCAGTAAAATGAATAGTTAAATAATTACCTGATGAAAATACTATCAACAATCAAACTGTCAACATCATCATTGGACATGGTCAAATGCACCGTGACTTTTCTTCCCTGTTCGGACTGCATAAAGCATAATACTTTACAGGATACTCTCAGGTCTTTTCTTTTTTCCTTCCCATTCTCACTTAAAATTTTAGTGTAGTGGTGAAGCGAGAAACACACAACAGCACAATGCGTCGATAACTTTCTTCTGATCGGAATGGCCTACAACTTCAATGCCACATTCCGTATCGAAAATAAACAAGTCCTCCTTTATTGGTTCATCCACATGCATCACGCTAATCTCAAAGGCTTTTAAGATTCCTATGCTTTGATTTGTTATAAGACTTTCTCCTTAAAACGTCCTTTGTTTTTAGTCCTAACAATAAGTGACAACAAACATCAAGTATGACAGAGGAAATTCGTTACCGAGATGCTTAGCATCGCTGGTTTAAAGTCGCCTGTTTCAAACGCTTTGGTGATTCGCAAGAGTTATCTCCCTGTAAACGCAAACCTTACCTTAATTATCATAATTTACTGTGACATCACGTCTGTACTTTGTCGGTGCAAGCCGCCAGTACGTTTTTGTAACTTAAATAACCAACATTGATGGAGTTACCCTTCTTTGTTTTAACTTTGGAGAGAAAAACAAGAGGCCCAAGGGCCTTGAATCGCTCTTCTGATAAATTGTACAACCTATCACTTGTATTTGAAGCCTCTAACCCTAAGTATCCTATTAAAGACCCAAGTTGCATCACCTGACAAAGTTTGATGATTCTTAGCCAATTAGAACTACTTTTTGGTCTACATTCTTGGAAATCACAAAATGCATCAAGTGACAAAGTTTGATTATTCTAAGCCAATAAATACCTTACATACTTAAATATAGCCATAAAATGTCGAAAGTAAGTCATGGTGACCTACATTTTAGTCAACATTTTTCAGAGTCCCAAGATGCATCTGCTGACTAAGTTTGATAATTCTAAGCCAATAAATACCTGAGATATTCAAAAGTAGGTCACTGTGACCTACTCTTTGGTCAACATTCTCAGAAAACCCAAGATGCATCAACTGACAAAGTATGATGATTCTTAACCAATAAGTACCAGAGATACTTAAATATAGCCATAAAATGTCAAAAGTAGGTCATCGTGACCTACATTTTGGTTGACTATTTTTAGAGTCCCAAGATGCATCTGCTGACCAAGTTTGATAATTCTAAGCCAATAAATACCTGAGATATTCAAAAGTAGGTCATCTTGACCTACTTTTTGGTCGACATTCTCCGAAAACCCAAGATGCATCAACCTGACAAAGTTTGATGATTCTAAGCCAATAAGTACCGGATATACTTAAATATAGCCATAAAATGTCGAAAGTAGGTCACTGTGACCTAATTTTTGGTCATCACTATCCGAAAACCCAAGATGCATCAACTCACAAAGTTTGATGATTCTAAGCCAATAAATACCTAAGATACTTAAATATAGCCATAAAATGTCGAAAATAGGTCACCGTGACCTACATTTTGGTCGACATTTTTCAGAGTCCCAAGATGCATCTCCTGACCAAGTTTGATGATCATAGGTTTGAAGGTAATCAAAATATGCCTTTTAAACAATTTGAAAACAAATGCCTGCAAAATTCTAAAAGTAGGTCACAGTGACCTACTTTTTTAAAAATATGTTTTAAGGTTCCATGATGCAGCAACTTACAAGATTTGATGATTCTAACCCTTTCAGTGCCTGAAATAATGAGATTAAATGTTTTGAAAAGGATAAGTCATCAAGTTCAAAAAGTAGGTCACGGTGACCTACTTTTACGTTGACGTTGTTCAAGGACCCAAGATGCATCAACTGACTAAGTTTGATGATCATAGGCCTTAAAGTATCCAAAATATGCCTTTAAATCAATTTGAAAACAAATGCCCGCAAAATTTAAAAAGTAGGTCACCGTGACCTACTTTTGAGTTAACATGATGTGAAGTCCTAAGATGCATCAACTTACAAGATTTGATGATCCTAGTCCTTATAGTAAGCAAAATATGAACATTTTTATTAATTGTATATTTAGGTCAACTTTAAAGTGACCTTGAGACCACGCCCTTTGCCCCAGGGTCATGCCTTGAACAATTTTTAATCTTTAACATATCCTGATCCTTGTATGTAAGTTTGGTGAAAATCTGCCTGGTGGTTCTGGAGAAGAAGATTTTTTAGCAACCAGTACTTTTGGTTTTGTTTTCCTGATTATCTCCCCTTGATTCAGGGTCCCAACCCTTATTTTAGTACAAATGGTAGCCCTTGGGCCAAGGATACCCTGTGACAAATTTGACACTGATTGGCCAAAGGGTTCTTGAGTTATGGCCCATATTCTAAAAAGTTAACGCACACCGCACGACGCACACCGCACAAATGGCCATAGCATTAGCTCTTTGAGCCTTTGGCTCAGAAGAGCTAAAAAAGAAATAGAACTTGTTACCAAGGAAATTACGTCCCCACGAACATTGACCCCCACGAATAAAAATGATTCCACAGTATTATGGAAAGAAAAATTATAATCGATACTATTATTTGTACAGAAACGGGAAAAAAGAAGCCAACTGAGTACAAGACACGACAAAGAAGTAAAGGTACGATGGCCAATGATTTTCCTGATAACCATTTAATCAAAATCTTTTGCTCTATTTATTGAAATAGTTTTTCGCAGCACATTTATAGTTACAGGTAAAGAAAAACAAATTGCGCCATGCAAAGTGGGAGAAAATCAATCGCAAGTCGCGGACAAGGAAACACAGCCCAATATACAGAACGCGGAAGAGGAAGATGAAAGTTCCGAAGGTCAGTCTGTTATTAGAAACGGTCTGGCAAGCCTCGGAAAATGTGAACTTAGAAGAGACGCTACAAACTGATACCGAGGGAGGACGGTGGGGGAGAGACGGGAGGAGGGACCTGATTTGACGAAAATATCGAAGCATCCTTGTACAGTGTAGATTTATGTATGTTCAAATCATGACCCCCGGTGGTAGGGTGGGGCCACATTGGGATATCAAAGTTTAACATAGGAAAAATCTTCTTCTCAAGAACCACTAGGCTAGAACCTCAAGTGGAAGCATTGTCATATAGTGTAGATTCAAATTTGTTCAAGCCATGACCCCTGGGGGTAGGGTGGGGCCACAATAGGGTATCAAAGTTTAACATAGGAATACATAGAACAAATCTTTAAGAATCTTCTTCTCAAGAACCACTGGTCCAGGAAAGATGTGGAAGCATTCTCTGGTAGTGAAGATTCAAATTTGTTCAAATGACCCCCAGGGGTAGGATGGTGCCACAATGTGGTATCAAAGTTTAGCATAGGATAACATGAGAAAACCATGATTGGTCATAATCATAATCATATTAAAGCATCATCTGTTAAATAAATGTTAATTTATGTTTCTGCAAATCATGACCCCATGGGTAGGATTTGGTCACATTTTGGTCACACCCCCTCCAAAAAAAGCATTTTTTTATATTTTATAAACTTTTCAAAACTTAACTTTATTCATGGTTTTAATGATGGACATTGTTGTTGCAAATTTATATCACAGGAATTTAATGCGGAAGATATATTTCCTTGTTCTTACATAGTACATGTATATTTCGGGATGATGAAAATAAAATTGCGTTCAAAGAACAGATACAAAGAACCTACAAGTATCTCCCAGAAACAACACCATCAAGTTCAAAAGAACAGAAAGAGCGCATGAGAGATTACAGAGATACACTTAAGCAAAATCCAGAAATGTTTGACACATACATAAAGTTACCTGCTGCTTATATGAGAATAACACATTCAAATTGGACAGAGAAGGATAAAGAGATGGACACATTATTCACAATGGCTGCTTCCATGCGAAAACTAAGAATTAAATGTCATATAAAGCATATCTTCTCGAAAATGTTTCTCAAATCTGAAAGCTGCAAAGAAATTTTTCAACATTTTTCGATTGATTGACTTTTATACCCCGGCCCGGCCTTTAAATAGCTATTTTAAAACCTACATTAAATTATAAAAATACACCTACCTAGTCTTAAACAAGAGATATATCTATGCATGAAATCAATGTGGTACATGTATATATATATATATATTAAAACAAAATATTTGTTGCAGAAAAATGTCACAACCTCTAGTACATATTGTATAAGTGAAAGAAATCATCCAGACATGATGTCTAAGATTGGTTGAAAGCAATTGAAGTAAGTGAAGAGGTTCCACAGGTTTTTAAAGGTAAAATTACAATATCTAAAGTAAGAATATAAAGAAGAAGGTATGGTTTCCATACAAATTTTGCCCTGTGATTTTCTAAAAAATGAAACCGGTGTAAGAGTTGAAAACTCATGCTTTTTAAATAATGGAAATTCAATGCAGAAAAATCATAAAAGTCATTTTTCTCACATGTGTTTTTAAATGCTAATTATGACGTCATAAACATGTGCATTTTCCCATAATTTCTTAAAAAGTTGCAGAAGACACCAATTTTCAATGGAATTTTCTTTCAGATATCATTGTCCACAGGCATCGCCCACAAAGATCTTGAGATATGTGATTTGTTATTATATTTTGCACAACATATCAAAAAATTAACGTGGGCGACGGCTGTGGACACTAAAGGAAAATCACCCTCGAAATGTGCCATTTTGAGGCTTTTTCTGTTGAAAATAGAGAATTGCTCAACATTAATGACGTCATATTTGCAGAATGGTAAACCTTCATGCCATATTTTTTCCTGATTTATCACTGTCATATATTTAACTAATATTTAAGCCAGTTTAAAAACTTTTTGATGTCATTACATTTTTAGGGCGCAATAAAGCTAAAACCATACCTTCTTCTTTCAAGTACATCATGCATTTAAAATATGATTTTGAATATTAGTTATTAATTGGCCTAACGATAAGAAAGTTTATCTTTTAATTTAACATTTAAAACATTTGTGATCTTAAACTCTGATCATGACAAGTAGCACATAGCGGGTGTGACCGGTCGGCAGGGGATGCTCACTCCTCCATGGCACCTGATCGCACCTCTGATGTTTCGGGGGTCCGTGTTTGTTCTGCTCTTATATTGTATTGTTTATGGACTTTGAGATTGAATACTTTTCGTTATCTCCATATCCTTCATCTACACATTGTAAAATTGCTAACATGCATTACTTTTATTATGAATGCAATAAAACCTTTTCGACATTCCATTCATAGCGGGGCCCTAACTATTATTTACTGATACTTAATGCATTGTATACCGTGTCAAACTTGTCAGTATACATGTTACAGCAATATTTTAAACAATTCCTTTGAATCGGTCTTTGGAAATAATTATCAGTATACATTTTAAACAATTCCTTTGAATCAGTCTTTGGAAATAATTATCAAAACATACCTTTTCAACATTTTCCTTAGGACCAAACTTCCTAGAAAACCCATCATGATGAAGTTTTTAATTAATTTTTTTTTTGATGAATTGT